CCCCCCCCCCCCCCCCGTACTCTAGAACTGAAGAGGAAAAGGCCAAGCTTTGAGAAGCATCGACCTCGGTACAAGTGCGCAGGCCCCAGCGGCAGCTTGTTCAACTGCTCAACCTGGTCGCCGCATAAACAGGTGGCTTCACGCCCACGAAGAGGAAAAAAGAGACCTTTTCTCTAAGCGGCTGTACATCTCCTCATCAGGCTGCAAAAGCGGGCTAAAAAAAGCAGAGTGGGGTGTGGGCGACTCCCGGGGCCATGGGCCACGGTCCCGGGTGGGGCTCCCGGGTCTTAACAGGTGAAGCTCAGCTGCCGGAGCCTGCCTGCACTTTTCCGAGGCTTCTTTTCTACACTGTCTGCCTATCCGACCCGATGTGTCAAGCCGATAGCTTCAGGGCACACACGGCTCATGCCAGTCCATCTCAAGGTCGTCAACCACGAACCATCGCCACCTGTTGGGCAGGACATCTGGTGCCGCGTGGGCACCGATTTCGTCTGCCGACTGAAAAGTGCACTCCGCATCCAAGTGTCCTTACCATCCTTATCACCAGCTGCTACGTTCATGTGCATGCATACAAGTGGGCACCCGCGCCCCTACTGCTGTCAAGGCATCACCATCACCACCACCATTGCAACCAGGGGGTTGTTTATCGTCGGCGGATGGCGATGATGAGGACATGATTAAGGATACTGATTGTAAGCATGATGATGATGTCGCGTAAGAAGCAAAAGACTCCGTAGTTACTGTAGTTGTGAAGATGAAGTTCATTTTGGCTTCTTTCGAGGCTACCTGGCGATCATGAATCTGATCACGGGCACGTTTGTGGAATCGGTCAGCCAGCAGGCATCACGCAGAGCTTCTCACAACTTGGTTGGAAGAGTTTCGATTCAGGATTGTAATTTGCTTGGGCACCGGCTCGAAAGGCGAGGAAATGGAATGAAGTTGAAGATACGAAGGTTTAGGGTTCAACATCGATGCTTCACCACACGAGGATACATCTTCGCTGTATGAGTTCCATCGACGGTGTCTAGTGTCCTTACCGAAGGCCCACTTCCTTGAAGGCGCATCCGCGAGCCTGCGACAAAACTTTTAATTAGCCTGAGTTGTAGGCCTTGCATTCCAAGAGCCCGCGCTACACTATGCTCTAGAACTCCGAGGCATCGAGCTTTGAAACCAGCAGCATGCCTTCCAGTGGGCTGCTCCGCATGCCCGTCTGCAACACTCCCAAAACCCCTAGCCCACCTAAATGCTGAAGCGCCGCCAAGGCTCGAAGAACCTCACAAAAGCAGTTCACCGAAACCCAAAACGCTTTAGACCCTGAAATGCTGGGTCCGGAGATCCCAAAGTCCTAGCCAGATCTTGTGAGGCAGCCGATCTCAAAATACGCAGCCGGCCCCTTTGCATGCACACAGTATGGTTAGGCTCCTTCTTGCCCTTCTCTCTGCTCTTGTTGCTGCTGACATTGCCGTAGCTGTTGCTGTTGTTGCTCTCGCACATGATCACACAATATGCAGGCAATCAATAATGGTGATGCTGATGAGGATGATCGTCTCCCGACCCGGGATTTACGCAGGCAATAGGTCCCAGGCGCTGCAATCCACAGTCGCTCAGGATTGTGAAGGCACGGCGTGTCTTCCAGGCCCCCGGGAAGACGACGGAGTCTGAAGCGTGGACGAGTTTGGGGTATTCAAGTTTTGGTCTGGCTTAGTATCTCACTCGCGCTTGTGTCCGTTTGGGGTGCTTGTCGTCCACAGCAGGACCTTCCCGTCTTCGCAGTTTCAGCACCCCACTCGACGATGACACGAGTTCGGGGGCATCTTTTCTGAGGCACAGGTCTCAGGCAAGTTTTCATGGACAGATTTGTATTGTAAGACGATATCCGAACAGAGTCTTCTGCATCTCTTTGCCACGCCCAGCGTGGAACTACGCTGTTGTCAGCTGAAATTTCGCACACCAGGCCTTCTCATGCTGCCGCAGATTTATTTTGGATGAGAACATAAACATGCGTGGATTCTCGTGCAGAGGGCAGCCTGCTCGAGATTGCTATCCGCCAGGCAGGTTGTGAAGCCGGCAAGGTCTTAAGTTGAAGGTCCAGGCTCAGCTTCGTAATCTAAATTCTGATGATGTATGCAATGGTGATTCAGAGCGGCATGGTGAATGTTTAGCACCTTGGTTTACAATGACGATGACCACGGTCTGCATGTCTTTTGCTGTTTAGCTTGTCGAGAGAAATGAGTGCTGCAGTTTGCAGAAATTATTCTCTGGACCCCATACAACGTGAAAGTAGGTCACCCAAGGCCCAAAACCGCAAACGCTGCTTAAAGGCTTTTGGTCCCCAACAACCAGAGTTCCAGGAGCTGGACGCAGATGGCTCTGGATCCATCTCGGTGGAGGTGGCCATGGCTTAAGCTTCGTGGGGCGGGGGCTGTCGGGCTAGGACCGCAAGGATTTGAGGGGGCGGTCTTCCAGATTCGGGCTTAGACAGGGTAGTCCTGCTGCACAAGCCTCACGATGAGAAATTTGGGACTCTGCAACAACATCCCGCAGTATTCAACCCTATGCTGGCATGCATAGGAGATTCGCGAGCACGCGTCGACGCCGGCCGTTCTTGAGTTTTTCGAATCGGTCGATGCGCCTTGGTCGTCGACTGTTATGCTGTTAGGATTAATGCTTTGGGCCTTTGGCGGATTTTGTGGTCCAAGGCTCGGGGCTTCGGGGTTGAAATCCGGTTTGGACCATGCACCATATGGGTACTGGGAGGCTCCGATTGCGACGTTAGCAGGGCTCCGGAGCATTTTTGGGGCCTCTGCCAGGGAAGCCTGCATCCTCACATATTGCACCTCAAACTCTAATAACCCCAAACGCTAAACCCTGACCCTTAACCCGAATACCCTAAATCGTAAGGCTCAAATACATCCTGAATCCTTAAACCCCTTTCTGCCCTAGACTTTAACGCACGCAAGCCAGCCTGTCAGCCTCCATCCCACGGCCCTCTGTTGGGCCCGTCGACCCAGGTGCACCCCGAGGAAGCGCAGCACCTCATCGAGGCCTGGGGTCGGGACGTAAGGGTGTTGAATTTCAGGAGTTAGGGTTTCAGGGTACGGGGACTGCTTCGAAAGGCAGGGTGATTGGATGCAGGTTCATATTTGACGGTGCCGGATTAGTATTCAGGAGGTTTGAGGGTTTGGTTCGGGATTAGGTAGTAGAACTTGTGATGTAAGTGCTCTTTCGGCGCTGCCAATACCTTGCCCTAAACCCAATGCGAATCCTTAAGCCCCAAACCCAGAAACCTCAAACTCGCAACCCTCAAGTCTTAGGCCTTGAACCCGAAGCATGACAAGCTTTCTTATGCTTACACCCTGCGGGTCGAAACCACGAAGCCCAAAAATCCGTGGTATCTTGGACACTCCTAGCCCTAAAGCCCCTAAGCTTGGCGCCCCGAAGAAAGCCACCACCACAAGCCCGAAGCCCAACTCTTCAAGCCGCAAATCCTGAAAGATCTCAGAATTGTCGCCAGGCGCCTGTGCCCCGGACGATCCGCACCCAACATCCCCTTGTCTGCGTCGAATGGAACATGCTGACCCACCGAGTCCTCTCAAACTCGCGTCTACAGCCTGCATCAACTACTTTTGCGACGACTTGTGCGGGCGTCTAGACAGGTATACCGCCATCTTTGTACAGGTCCTGGATATGAAGGACGACGGCAACATCGGCTTTGAAGACTTCCTGGAGATCGCCGTTAGGCCCAGCAGTTGTCATTTTTGAAACAGAGTTGGGGTTGTTTGCTCTGTTTTCAAGCTTTTCTCTGCTTGTAACCGAGCATCCCGACAGAAGCCTCGCAGCTCAGATGTTGTTTTGTGTTCATTCTGTGGTCTGATTATTACTGTGCTTTTACATTTCAGTTTCGCGATTTTTCGCATTTTGAGGTTTGGCTCCACGGCAGATGACGCAGACTAAGCCCGATCCACTCCGAGCCGTTATTCAAGCTGATTTCTCGGTACATGTTGTCATTCTGAACAACCCTGGGACGGGAACCCTGGAAAATCCCCGCACAGTCCTAGGACCCTAGGCCTAGGAACCGTGGAGAAAATCTGATGGCCTTCCTCCTTGGTCCTCAGGCTCAATGGCATGCCGAAGGCCTCCGACCTGTTAATGTTGTACCACGAAGTAAAGCGGCCGCCGATCTGCAAGAGCGCCATGTTTGGGAGGTTCGACACAGGTGCAGCCCAGCCGGCTTTCTGCTTCGCCTCGAATCCGCCAACCAGACTTCTACCCTTATGTCCTTACTTTCCCCCTGACTCCCTACACCCATGTGATTTCTCGGTTCTTTGTTGAGCTGCTTCTCAGAGAGCTGAATTCGTTCCGAGGTTCCACGTGCACTCTGCTGCAGAGATGAACCGCATCAAAATCGCCCTGGGTTTGGAGCCAGGTTGGCCTTGAGATCAATTGCACTTGTTGTTCTGATATGATGCGCATGGGTATGTGCAACTCGGACTATAGTCACTCCGGTATACTTGTAGTTAGAAGGATTCGCATTTCGGCTCCGTTGGTTCGAAAAGCCTGCCGAGTTTGTTGAGAGGGCTCACATGTTGAATTTGCTGTGGAAGGTTGAGAGTCGCCTTTTTTCACGTGCTGTAGCAGCTGCGTCAGCTCATCTTGCAAAGCTGTGCCGTGTGTTGGCCACCGCCTCGTCGCTTGAAAATGCCTCCGGTCCTGCTTTGGCCTCGGAAGATCAAAGACTGTTTTGGCACTCTGCTTGCTACTGGTGGTGCTAAATACGAATGCGCGGGGTGCTGGGGTGCATGCGCTTCCATGGTCTCCCGGACAGCGCGGCCAGGACCCCCGGCCCTCAGCAGTGACGGCAGCATCACATGAAGTCCGAGCCCTGGAAGCAGGAGCCGGGATGCGCTTTCTGAAGCTTTACCAGGACCGTCCTCGTATTGTATACATACTTCTATTGGTACACTTTGCGCATGGGCTTCTTGTTGAAGCGCTGTAATACTCGTCCCTCGAAGACCTTAGGGAGCGAATCCAGAAGGAACCTTTTACCGAAGACGAAGACCCCAAGGAGGCGAAAACTTAAGGAGCGAAACCAGCATGAAGCAGTCCAAAAGAAGAACAAGTGGGTAGTCACAGATGACTGTTGTTGTTGTTGTTGCTGCTGCGTCAAAAGAACTTTCGAAAGCAAAAGACGGTCGGGAGTCACAGACGACAGGTGCTAGTTCTACAGTAAACATGCATATATATATATATATATATTCATTCTCATATACGGAAGACCGGAGAAAAAGACACAGATCAACACAAACGAATAGGCACAGATCAACACAATCCATGTGTTTTCGAGCCAGGACACAGGCACGAAGATCTACATGAAGAAGCGGAGAAAAAGACACAGATCAACACAAAAAAGGCACAGATCAGCACGAAGTACAAGGCACAGATAAGCACGAAGAAAGGCAAAAAAAACACGATCGCTCCGGAGCTTATACAACCCGCCAAGATTTAGCTCTGGGACCCGCCAAGATTTAGCGCTGGGGCCCATATAAAGCCTGAGCTCCTGAGGCTTTTACTTCTGGCCCCGTACTGGGAGCCGAGAGCCTCGAACAGTCGTTGTGAAGGTCCCTGCCTTCGGGTTGGATTGTTTCAAGAATCTTCTCAGGCGAAAGTATCTTTGCGAGAGCTTCGTTGCGGGCCAAGCCACCCTTCGCGTGGTAGTGGTCGGTAGTACTGGTAGTAGTAGTCGTAGTAGGAGCAGTAGCAGTAGTCGTAGTCGAAGTGAGCAGTAGTTGGAAACCCTCCACGCTGAAGATGCCTGGGCCGCTTGTCAGAGTCGCTACAGAGAGAGGGGCTGTGACGGTTTTGTTTGGGCTGTGAGGGGTTCAGAGGACATCTCTGCATTGAGGAGGCTTTGACGAGAACGAGCAACCCGGTTTCCCTCCCCGCTTCCGTTTCTGCCTGCTCCACGACAGCGCTGAAGATCGAACTCCTAAGCAGGCGATGCTCTGAAGCCTTCAGTCGCTGGCTCGCAAGACACGAACCGACAAAAAGCACCCGCTCTGCAGACTTGGCCTCCGTACCCCTGGCCTTCCGGCTTCCTGCAAAGCAGATTGCCTGCCTTCCAAGAGCTTCAAGCTTTCAGTGGACGCCTTCGGGGCTTCTTGATGGACCTAGAGTCCTAGAGATTCTATGCTCTGCCCAGCACCAGGACCGTGGGCTGGGAAGCCGGCGAGTTTGCCCTGACCCCCAGAAGAAGTGAAGGACGGATCACAGAACCCGGAAACTTCAAAAGTCCTCGGCCTTCCGACGTTCGGCTCGGGGGACTTCTCTTGGCCGAGGCAAACTCGCTGGGATTTTCGGTGGAAGCCTGGGGAAATACCCCTGGGAATGCGCATTCCCCTGACCCTCAAAGGCATATGCAAAGGCCATCGATAAATTCGTTTCCCAGTTGTAGTCCCTCGTATTAAGGGGAGGGGAGTTCACGAATCAGGGGTTTACATGACAGATCCGATGAATTGGCACCTGGCTGTGCATGTCAAAGAGCGCTTCAGCATGAGAGCTGCCGCAGCTGTTATTCGTCCCGCCTATCACTGCCACGAGGATTAATGTCAGGAAACTGACACGAGAGCTCGGTGGTTTGGAGATTGTATCACTTCGCACAGTGGCTTTTCGCACAGTGTCATTCGAGATGTGCAGCATCCACAGGCCGGAATGGGTGACCGGTGTTGAATCTAGTTGCTAGTTCGTCCTGCTGTGATCATGATTGTGCTGATGATTGATGCCAGTTGTCGCCACCATGACTGTGGTCACCATTATGACGCGATCGCTGTCATCAGTGTTGCTTCGCCGTTACAGCCACTGTGCAAGGCACTGAGGATGTTTTGAGGTGCCCGCATTGCCCTAACCCGCTTTGCAGTCAATAGTTGCAATCAGGGTTGTCATTCTTTTTAGACTTTCTAAGATTCATAGCAGCATTCCCAAGAATCAGACCGATATGGCCCGGTATGGATTGGCAGCTCCACGAGCGCCTGACATCATTGGACAGCCGCTCGCCCAGGATGGAGCAGGTTTCTTTTTTTGTTTTTGTGTGGTTGTTTGGACCAAGAGCTTCTGGGGTGCACTCATGAGCTAAAGTGATATCATCATGTTCTAAGTCGAAACAGCCGTGATACTGTTGACATTGAGCTGCACAAACCGGGATCAAAGTACTACGATCTTCAAGGTGCTGTAACCACGATAATGTCTTGCCTTGCCTCGATCTCGGCAATACTCCAATCAGGTGGCTGCATGCGTGATAGCTCCAAATGAAGGGTTGAAGAAATGGAGCAGATGTAGGAAGGGTAACTTGACCAGAATCATCAGAGTAAGGGGAAGTCGTGCTAGTCACAACACTCGAAAGTGTTTACGCGAGTTACGAAGCAGTTGTAAACTTTGTCAGGCACGCGAGTTTACGTAGTTGAAGAAGTCGCAGTCGCAGTACTTGCAACATCGTTTCCAGAATCCTAGTCGGGTCAGGTTCCAACCGTAGGACTAGCGACGAAGATGGCGTGACTGACAGTGCGATCAGGCTTGCTGTTGCTTCTGTGATGTTGTTGCTCGAGGCGGTCGATGTGTCACTGTAAGCCACTGCCGCAATGAAAGTACTAGTAGTTTGGGGTTGTGTACAAGTTGTGGCAATAGTCTTTGGTGCACGAAAAAAAGTCCCTGCACTCGCAAGCCTTTGCAGCATCACACTTCCTCTCCTGGGGGCCGCGAGGCGAGCTAACTTCGCTTCTTCGCCGCGACGTCTCGGTGGGTTCTCGGCGGGCACCGGCAAGGCTGGCCTCTGTGAAGATCCAGGTCTAGGCAGTCTAGATACCTTCCGTGTCTCGCACTGAGAGGTCGTTGAGTAAGAATCCCATTGTTTTTCTCCAAGGTCATGGCGAGGTTTGCTCTGTCCCCGCTAAACTCTGGCATCCTATAACGTCCAACTCTTCAGGTTGCGACTCACTAGCTCATGTCGTCACAGAACTCGCGTATTTCCATGTCTCCATCGTGGCTGTTCCCAGTGCCGCCTGTGCCGCCTGCCCGGCTCGGCTCCGCCGTCGGCACTGCGTCGCTGCAGCTCTGGCATCTTTGGGTGCGAGGACGGCAAATGGGCCTATATAGGCAGAAGAGCGATTTGTTTGGGGTTCCGTCATACGACGGGTTGCGAAAACAGAAACGTCAGACCGTCAGAGTGTTTGCCGGGCTCCTTGCAGTCCCGAGGCCGCCGGCGTGGGGGTGGGCGGGGTGCCGAGAAGCTCCACTGTTGTGTAAAGAGGGTTGTTATAAAAGCCCTCACTGTTATGTCACTTGACCCTTTCGAGAGGAGTTTCAACTGGTCGGCTGGCCTCATCCTCAGGCTTTGCGAGCTGCGCAATGCATGATATCCGTGGCCCTGCGAGACGGGGGCAGGTGAGTCAGAAGAGTGTGAACGGGATCACACCGCTAGACATACAGGCAGATAGAGAGTGAGAGATATATTTTGCGAGCAAAGAACAAGAGATGAAATAACTCTTGAAAGGGCACAACATGCAAAGATGTCCACATTGCAAACGTAGGTGGTTGTTAGATAGACGGGTGGCATGTATGCCGTATACCTAAGCCAAGGTATGCAGAAGCAACGTCTGGAGGCTGTCCCGCACGAAACTCCTGGAGCACTGAACCCAAGAAGCCCGGAGCCACCCATGTGGCTGAGGTCTAAGCGTTCTCCTGCGGAGAGACCTGGCGGTCCGCGGCCTATCCATGTTTGGGGTGTTTGGGTCTCGCGCATTTGGGATTTGGGCATTGTGGGTTCATCGTTGAAGGACGAATGCATGGATGGATGGATGGACGGATTTACTGGTTGATTATGATGTTTTGGACTAAACTGCGGTCGTGTTGCGCCAGGGCTTGGGCTTCCCGTCCGACAGATGTTTTGAGTTTTGGGTCTAGAGTCTGGCATGTTGGAGATTGCGATTCTTGGAAGCAGAGACAGGATAAGCTAAAAGCCGAAGCTGCTTTTCCGAGTTGCTTCCAGCCAGCTGAGGAGTTGGTTCTCCGAAGCTGCCGGCCTCCTGGGCAATGGGCTGCTTGTCTTAGATTCTCTTAGAGTCTTAGAGCAAGCACCTGGAAAGTGGTTCTTGGTGTTCCCTTGGTTCTCTATTAACCGAGAAGCATCAGCATTTTTTCGCAGTGCTTGCTCCCTCCGCAATGTTGCATGGGGAACACGAGTTGCCCATCCGTCGCATGGGCGGCTGCCTTGCCTTGGGTGCCTCAAGAAGCCATCGGAAACAAAGCGGAGGCCTCATTAGGAACCCAGGCCAGAATCCTCCGAAACGAAGGGGGGCCTCGCTGCCGACCTCTCGCTTCGCCTGCGGCCACCTCTCATTCCGATTCGTTTCCCCACCAAGCTCTTCGAATAGTTGTGGCAGCAACTGTTCGCCTGCCTTCTGAAGCCTGGCGCCGAACTGGTGACAGCCAGCTTCAGCCAGTCGAACCTGAAGGCTGAAGCCCAAGCGAGGCCAGCCTGTCCGTGTCATTTTCCGAGCAGTTCTCCTAGCTGGCTTGGTTCCAGCATAAACATCCTTTTGGTATGCAGCAGATACGTGAAAGCAGTTGGATGCTGCGTGTAAGCCGCCCCTCAGAAGCGGCGCGTCAGCCATGAGAAGCGGCCCGAAAAGCAAGCATGTGGGCATGCCGCGCTAAGGAGCAGAACCTGGACTCCCTACGTGGGTCTTTGGAGGCCATCCCCTGGACATCTCGGCAGGCCGCGTGGACCTCGGCTGTGGGTAGCAATGTTGAGCGGGCAGCTGCATAATTCTTGACACGTGCCGGGTCGTCTCTCTCTCTCTCTCTCTCGCGCTCGCTCGCTC